CATAGTGACATAGAAAAAAAAAAGACACTAGTTAATATCTTTAGGAAAACAAACTGAAAACCTGAAACGAAGCCCACCACAACATACTGAGTAAAGGATTTCATGGAAAAATGTTACACAGACTTAGGAAGTCACAAAGCTAAACATCCTTCACTGAATCTTTGTGAAAATGATGCAATCTAACCTCTCAGTTAAGAGCAATCTTTAGGGCAACTGCTTTACTACAACTACGTACTACTTAATTTTTTTTTTTTTAAAAGATGACCGGTAAGGGGATCTTAACCCTTGACTTGGCGTTGTCTGCACTATGCTCACCCAGTGAGCTAACCGGCCATCCCTATGTGGGATCCGAACCCTTGGCCTTGGTGTTATCAGCATCGCACTCTCCCGAGTGAGCCACAGGGCTGGCCAGTACTACTTAATTTAAATGTGTACTTACATTTCTGGTGAACTGTTGTAAGTAAACGTTACTATGGCAGTGTAGGAAAATTAACTATCCAAAATTACTGTATCCTGAAAAACTCTATATGGGTTTAGTTGCAGTTGAATATACAATGACTTTGTAGAAGTTTTAAGACATAGATACATTGATATTCTTTACCTTTGTGCCTTATCTAACTTTATTCATAAGCTGTGAGGGTAAAATAATCCCTATCCTTTCACAAATGCTATACATTAACATGTTTTGGGATACTTAATGCCAAATCTTTACATACATATAATTAAAAGATAAAGAGACAAAAACAAATAGCTACAATACAGAAAAGTAAACTGTAGTATTTAAGAAATATTTTTCATGGAACACTGGTTTATTAAGATACGTGCTGGAAAGATTCTAAGAAGGGAAACATTATTTCTAGTACTGGTAAAAGTTCCAGAAATTCTGCAGGTTGGAACTTAATGGATTCATAAAATGAGTAAGATTAGCATAGGCAGAATTTAAGAAAAAAGGATTCCAGAAAGAAAGAAAAAAAAAAAAAAAAACTACCATGAGCAAAGGTGTAGAAATGGGTAAGCAAAAACCATATACAGAGGACAAGAGAGTGAATGAAAGGCTATGAACAGAGAAAGAAAAATATTACATTGTAAGATAGGGTAGAAGAACATACCCCATAATAAAAAGGCACTGCTTGCTTTTCGAACACATAAAAAAAGATCAAGCTGGCAGTATTAAAATGAATGGAACTGAAAGGGGGAAAAATTAAAGATAACAGTACAGACTCCAATAAAATGAGGCCTAAAGATAGAAACTTGGGAAATGTAAAATAAGGGACAGATGTGGAAGGCATTGAAAGATTAAAAAAAAAGTAATAATAATCACATCTGGAATCTTATTACATAAGAAAAGAGGAAAAGACACCTGGGGATGAGGAAATTTAATGGTGATTCAGGTTCTAATTCTGTGTTTCTTGAAAAATTGTGATAGCCTTTAATAAAATTAAGAAAGTCAGAATTAAACACCAGTCAGTATGAAAAATGCTAAATAAAAAATTAGTAGGAAAACAAAGCAGGTTTGAGAAAGAAGAGATACAAGTCTAACTGATATACACATTTCCAGAAGTGACCACAAAAGTACACAGACTTAAACTACAAAAATTATTTTATAAAGAGGTTTTCGTTTCTTATAAAAATATAAATAGAGTAATATGGATAATGATAAATAGGCAATTCACAAAAGAAACACAAATGACAAATATTTTAGAAAATATTGAAATTTGCACCACTTAAAAGTTAGCAAAGATACGGGCCGGCCCGATGGTGCACTGCTACAGTGCGCCGCTTGGGAGTGCGGTGGCGCTCCCGCCGAGGGTTCGGAAAGTCAAAATTCCATAAAATAATAGAGCACTTTTAGTGATAGGCAATTTTGAAGCCAATTCTAGGAAATTAAGTGTCTAGAAACACTTCTGTGACTGCTCCAGTCCCCAATGTTACCTGAATGATTCAAGGTACAGAATACAAGTTATTAGAAAAGATTTTTTTCACTCACTGAACAATCTTTTATTTATTCACTCATCACACATCTACTATGTACCAGACATGTGAAAAAGTTGATCCTTCCACCCAGAACAAGACATGGCTTTTAAAGAACTTACATATTTAAGGTGTATTTTTCAACACCCCAACACAATTCTGTCAATTGATGATGGTAAAGGAGGAACGAACACCCATGCTTTATATACCACAAACAACAGTGCAAATGAAATGTCTATGTTCCACAAGGTTAGTAATACAGAAATTATCCATAGTGACATAGAAAAAAAAAA